GTCTGATAGTGCACAATAACCCTGCTATGGACATTCTGATGACTCAAGTGATTTTTGATTACAAGCCAGTACCATGAAAAATTTGTCTTTTAGGATCAATAAATGCGTTTATGAAATTCTCAGTAAACTGCCATGTGTCTGCATCATAACTGGGCGCCAACCATTTCTGGCCTAAAACTTCTAAATGGGAGACACCGAATATTTGTGAGTTTTTTAGAGCATACAGGAAGCATTCTACAAAATTCAGAACACCTTTTTATGAGTTCCCAGAGTAGGGGTTATCTAACCATGCAGTCCGGACTCAATACACGATGATTCATTTTCTGCATGCTATTGTTTTTCTTTGGAAAAACTAAACTGCTTTTGGGGAATTCAATGAACTTTCCTGTGGAAGAATGAGTATGTATGCTTCTTTGGAAATAATGCACAGTGGAACTCCACTATTTTTCCAAACTTTTCTGAGAGGAAAGATTACTCTCTGATTGTTAAATGCCTTTACTAAATGCAAGAACAAATGTACGTCTCTATTTTTCCGCAATGCACTGTTAAACTTTGTTCCATTTAAAGACATTTACGGTTTATATCTACGAAATTTATATTTTTATTATAATACATAAACTACTTCGAATGCCTCTACATTACAATTTAGGTAAGAGCGCTGCCAATGAATTTCTTTTTACTTTCAATGAGGTCGTTGGCACCATAAACAGGTTTTGATTATTTGAAAATCACCAGTGTTAAAATAGTTTCTTTCTTCTTTCTCCTGAATTGTAAAATAACCCATTTCGATTACCCCGATAATCTGAATCTAACCGAAATATTCCTAACACTTAAGAAGCATCTAGAAATTTCAGTGCAAAAAACCACATCCAACTAACCTTGAATTACTTCAACTGTCTGCCCCTACTATTTGTAGACGATATCTAAACAGCTTTTCAACAGAATACTGTTTCCACACCCAAGGATGTTTGCATTATCAATAAAAAGAATCTTGATGGATTGGTTTCTATACCCCACCGCGCAGATACAGGCAAAATAAATTTCTTCCCTTGTTAACGAAAGATGAAAAATTCAATGAGAGGCGATCCTTTTGTCTCCCCAAAAACTTCCAGAGCTAAATAATTTTTACTGATATCAAGAAAGGCAATGCCCTTCAGAATAACATTGAACCAAAAATGATGCCATAAACGACTCAAAATATGCCTATAACTGGCGTCAAGTTTGAATGAATACCCCTTTCCATCCTAATTTATGCAGTATCGAAAAAAAACGTGTGCTGAACCCAATCATCTAAATATATACAACAAACTATAATAATTAACTGTTATGAATCATTGATGAGTCAAATTAAAAAAGCGTACTTGATTCTCGCGAAAAGTGAAGAATTTAGCATGCAACTTCGACATGTAAATACATTGCTAGATCAAAAAGCCTCTAGGCCTGCTCTAGAATTTTAACTGAAAATAGAGTATTTCATGGAAGCTTCGTTATTTATTCATTTATACCTCCGGGAAATCTCCCAAGAGGGACTGCTCACATCGACAATTACCATCAAATGTGTATGAAATTGCAACTGCTGTTGTTCTGTTGATTTAAATGCTCCGGAATAGCTTGGAAACAATATGCTGACTTGCAAAGTAAAATAGTGTTTTAGCCTAAACTAGATTTGCACTATTCGGGAGGTAAACCTTACATGTATTCAAGTTACGTTTTTATCTCAGAAAAGCGAAATCTTTTGCCAGCCCTTGGTCATGACATGTTTGTGTGAGAAGATTTAGTTAGGACAAGGACATATTAGCGATAAAAATAAAACCGGGCACTCTTCAGAGATTCCTATTTTTTTCAGCCTATCCCCCGCCTTTTCATCTGGGCTTCTGTAATAATCATCCCCGTCAAAATGGGACCTTAAAAAAAATTATTAAATGAATCCACGCTTCTAGAAAGTTCTCGAGTTGAATGTAAGTCTTTCCTCTATCTCCTCTTTAGAATTCACGCGTGCTCAAGGCAGCTTGTTGCGCATGTTAAAAGTGGCTCCTGCACCGACCAACGTGCGTTCACAACGCGACCAAATTTTCTCGGCTTATGAGTTACCAAATTTATCGCATGATGGGGCTATGCAGTGAGCGCGCGCTTCGAGCTCTGTTGTGGTAAGACGATAAAAGTCATTTCATGTCATAACATTATGAAGAACCTTTATTTTTTAATTATACATGGAAACAGTACATATCTGCTCTCTATCTCAGCAGTCACTAATGACCAAAGGACCTGTAATTGTTTATCGCCCGTGGATCGGAGAATTTAGGGGGAAAGCGATAAATAATGACCACCCCATAATAAACCAAGAAACTAAGGAAATTAAAACAAGTGTTTTTCTAATTCATAGAGTTGCTGTGACAATAACAACACGATCCTTTGCGAGCGGTAGAGGAAACATTTTTATGCATCTGCATGTACTGTCCAAACACTTCGATACTCACAAGATTACTGAGAAAAGGTGACAGGGGAAAAAGCGAATGTGTGTTACTTGGACTTGGAGTTATGATCTAGATACCCCCATGGGAATTAATGATTTATCAACTATATATGGCGAAGCTGAGTGAAAATGAAGTCTCGCTGAGCTGTTAAGATACATCTCCAAGTGGCGTGCAAATATCGTCCAAAACTCGCGATAATTGCCAGTATTGTTATTTTTCACAGTACGTAGCCTTGAGGTTTTGAGGCATCAAGCCATTTTGTGTTTGTTTAATTGTGTGAAATTTTTTTTCCATGCCGTATCAATAATTTTAAGAATTCTTTCTTACAGATTGGCGAATTTTTAAAATGAAAATTGTTCGAAGAGATTATTCTCCTCTGATCACGCTGTTATGAATAAGATTGCATGTGAGTTTCAATATTTTATCTATACTATGACTGAATAAATCTTGTATATTGTAGTAAGAGAGTAATATTATTGCAGTCGCAGCGGTCTGGCCAAAAAAAATCGATTTTAGCTTATAACGACACACAAGAAAAGAGACAATTAGAGAACAACAAAACTATTTTTGAGACAGGTGTCTTAAACCCTTTTTTATGGGAAAAAAAATAAAGGAAAACTTTTTTGCGACGGGAAGTCGAGAGGACTGCTATGGTCGACAGCGGCACTGACCAACAGAATTTGCCCCAGTAAAGCCATGTTTTCTAAAAATGTGCTCTAAAATCTCCTAGAAAATTTGATAGGGATATCACAGAGTTGGCAATTTGAAATCTTTGAAAAAAAGATTTGTGGGCTTTTTTTGTGCGCTCGCACTTTTACGTTTTAATATAGTATAATAATAATAATAATAATAATAATAATACTTCATTTTTATATCGCCATTTCCAGCGATGTCCAATAGCGCTTTACAAAAATGTTGAAATGTTACAGATATCACAAGTATTGTTCATAAGAATATTTAAAAATTACGTTCTACCTGAACGGCTAAAATATAAAGCAACCAATTCATAAAAACTTAAAATTTTGAAATATCAAAAGGCTAATATATATAAAAACGACTAAAAAATATAAAAGACTAATTTAAAAACGCTTTCCTAAAAAGATAAGTCTTTAGTCTTTTCCTGAAATCGTTCAGACTGTCACAAGATCTTATCCCTAGAGGCATGTCATTCCACAACTGTAGTGTCGCTACTGAAAAAGAACGAAAGCCATATTTGCCCAGATTATATTCAACATCAAACAGGCGATGGCCATTAGCAGATCTTAAGTTGCGCCTAGGAATATGCCTTGTAACTAGGTCAGACAAATATGAAGGCGCTATGCCATTTAGACATTTAAAAGTCATCAAAAGAATTTTAAAAATTATGCGTTGTTCTACAGGAAGCCAATGCAGTTCTTGTAATACTGGTGATATATGTTCATGTTTGGGTGTAAGCGCAACCATTCTGGCGGCTGCATTTTGAACATGCTGAAGCCGCTTGATAGTTGTTTCGGCAGTCCATATAAAAGTGAATTACAGAAGTCCAGTCTGGAAGTAATGAAAGCGTGCAAAAGTATTTCTGCTGTATGGCGACTGATATATTTCCTAATACGGCTGATATTTTGAAGGTAGAAGAAGCCTGCCTTGCATACAGCTGTGACATGATGTTCCATTGACATGACTGTATCGTACAGAACACTAATATTCCTAGCTGTCGATGGCGGAGGTGGGCGATGGCTGGCATTTAAGACAACTGGTTCTGTATTGTCCCTGTTCATCTTACGCATGTTTACTATCATCCAAGCATCGATATCTCGCACACAGTCTTCTATCGCTAATTTGGCCAGGTCAGAAGTGGATGATATGAAGGTGAGGTATAATTGCGTATCATCGGCATACAAAAGGAAATTAGATTTATGGTGTCTCATTACATCACCCAAGGGTCATATATAGAGCAAGAATAAGATCGGTCCAAGGACACTACCTTGGGGAACACCGTAATGCAGCTCAGGACTGCATGACACTCCACCATTAACTTTCACAGTCTGGTAACGATCAGATAAATACGATCTGAACCATTTGAATGCACAGTCAACGTCCAAACGATGTGAAAGGCGGTGTAAAAGAGTCTGGTGATTGACCATCTTGAAAGCAGCTGAAAGATCCAATAGGAGCAGTATCACGCAAGAATTATTGTCAATGGCTCGAAATTTGACAAATATTTTCTTTTCTTTTGATGCTGCCTATAATTACTGAAACGAATACAAGAAGGTTCCCTTAGAAGAGCGAATAAAAAATGGAAATAATTGCCTGAGGAGAAAACTAAGAAAATTATCCTTTTCAATAAACATCATTTGTCAACAGCTTCTCTGTAACGTGCTGTCAGACATCTACCATATATCCAAATGTGATTGGCTAACATGTTTCTAAGAAGTGCAGCATTAAACTGGTGCTACATCGCGGTCAATAAACCGTTGTTAAGCTTCTCGATTTTCTCAACAGCTTCAAAACATCGAGAGGATCTCTTTTAATCTGCTTTTTGAGGACATGGGAGTTTTTCTCCGTTTGTTCTTCATCTCTGTGGCGCTCCCCCACGGAGAAGTTCTATCTTGCCCGGATGGTAGGTTTCAAATCTTGCTTTAGTTGATAAGACAGTTTCATATTTCTCCTATCAAGGTCATCTAAAAAGATTTTTGCAAGAAAGATCTTGTAGTTAAGAGAAACCTTGCACTCAGAAAAGATAAATTGATGTAATAATTATGATTAATTCCCTTATTTTTACATTCTCTTGTGGAATAATAGTCTTTATTTGGGTACATAATTATTCGCTGGCATCATACTCAGTTGACATCATTTCTTTATTCAAGACAACTTTTGTAGAAAAAATTCCACCTTAAAGATATAATGCAGACAGGTGTTAAACATAGAACAAAACGTTTTTCTTCTAGCTTTTGTAACTCGGAATTTGATACAAATTTTCCTCCCCATAGTACTCCTTGTGTTTTGTATTGCGCGGTAAAGCCTGATGAGCAAGTTTCTCATAGCCAATAAAAACGGAAAGGAATTCTTGACCATTTAGTTATACAATCTAATTAAACTTATCGAACCTACTTCTAACTAGTTTTAAAAAAAGGTCTAAGGTAACTTGTTGTTTAACTACATGCTTCACAACACAATTGACTGAAAATCTGGCTTTTGGAAGGCGAAGAATATTTCTTTCCGATCTCCCAAGGATCTTTTGGCAAATGATTCAGCGCGATTAAATCAAATTTTAAAGTTGGATAAAATGCACCGATTCGACGGTGCCGTCATTTAGTTGAAAGTGTACGCATACACACGCAAACTCAATTGCTTTGCATTTTACATCCAATCTATAGCTTATTTAACATAATATCATTTTACCTTCCGTGTTAATGTTTTAAAGAAGAGGGCTACAGTCCTGAAAGTGTTGCATCGTACACATAAAAGCAAAATAACTTGGCAAGATAGTCAAAGCCTCCTGATCGTGCTCTCACAAATCATAAATCGGGATGGAACAGAAATAACAATCTTGAGAGTTTTTAAACCACTCGGATAAGGTAGACGTATATGTATGTATGCTCGGCCACGCATGCGTCGAGATATATACCATAATGGTTCATTAGGAGTTAGACAGGACTTGCAAACGTGTGCTTTGTCATCATAAATTCTGAGATAGATGAGGAGGATTGTGATTTGAATTGATGTAAAAAAAATTTGGAAGTTCATGATTGAAGCGTCTTACCTCTTATATCATTAAATACTAATTGTAGTTATTAGGTTTTCTGAGGACGAATTTTTCATCAGAGTTTGGGTTCATCAGTGTTACACTTCGCAACTTTTGGAAGTCAAACAATCCTTTACTAGTAATCTTCTCGGCACGAAAAGCCTTAATTATCGATATGTACGTCCCACACACACACACACACAGACAACAGCGAGCTTAACAACATCTGAGACCCTTAGAGCTGATGACCTATTTCGCTTTTTTATATTATTCAAACAACTTGAATTTTTGATGAATGCCGCATACTGGCATTCCCACCCACTTTGTCCTTCGTGAGACAACGTCTTGTCAACCACACCATAGCAAACATCAGTGTGATTGACAGGGACACGTCCGAGTATTGTTGCAACTTGGACCACAACTGCGCCAGTGTTAACTTTTCTTTTGGAGAAAATGGAGCAGAAGCACACAACTGTGAACTAAACAACTCAACGGGTAAAGAATATGATAAGGATCTCGTAAAAGCAGCGAACTATCTATATCACGGAACTTAGGTACCAGTTGTTAAAAGGCAATTGCACTACTCTCTCTTTTAGCAATTTATGAAAACTAAAGGGGTACCCTTTATATTCATGTCTCGAAAACACCTTTTATCCATTATTTGTTATTTTTACATAATTTTAGATACGTTACGGATCTTTTGTAGATACGCACTTTCCAAAAACAAAAGTCCTTTGAGTACCTTGAGGACACCCAACTCTATTAAGAAAAGAGAGTAATTATTCTAAGTCAATTCAGAACGTTGTTCACCGGCCTTGAGTAAACAACTAATCGCTGTTTTTCATCTAATAAAGAAAGCACAACTACGAAACACTTAACTCATCTTAAATATTTCTCGTGGGCAAGGATAAATGAAATGGTCATTTGCAGGCATTTTTGCAGAAGGGTTGTTGAAATGAATTGGGTTTGAGGCTTGAATATAATATACTAGGTTAAATAATCGAAATAATTAGATATATCTCATGACTCAAGAGTACGTACGACTACGGATATAACGATACATTTGAGCCATGACCGTGGTTACCGAGTACTGTTCCTGACAATTTACTTTATAATAGCTTGTCTACAAACGCCCTCTCTCGATTTTCAGATTGATAGGAGTAACTTTACACAGGCTACTTTTGAAATTGCTTTCTCCATCAAGTTGTGCTCAGGTTCCCGGCGAAATGTCGAGGAAAGTCGTTAAGATATTAAACAGTTAGTTGTGATATCCCATCCAGGGGAGTCACAGTTCTTGTTGTCGCCTCATGCTAAAATGCGGTATATTTAGCTCTCGATGTTATACAATGCGCCCAATACAGAATTTCTCTTTTGACAGTAGTGACGAGCTTTTTTTTTAAAAAATTTTTTAGAATTTTTGCGTTCAAGCTCCATGCAAGACTATGGCACCTGCCAGTCGGGATTTACAAGAAAACGATATCGATGTTTATGTGCGTCTGGATTCACTGGCCACGATTGTGAAAAAGGTATCACTTAAAAACATGATTATAGAAAAGAATTTTGTTCTTGATTTTAACACAGTAGACTATTTCTTCAGAGGGTTCAAGATTTAGAATCGGTTGTTCTTATGACACATATTATATATGACCCATTGTTGGGGAAAACAAGGATTGGGGGTGCAATTTCAATTTTCATGCTCTTTTTCTCAACCCAGGGTATTGTCTCTTGTTTAGGATGAACAGGAAGTAACTGAACCCACTTCCCTTAAGTGTTGCACCCATTTTCTATTTCAAAGACGCTCCTGCTTCTTTGAAGTTGCAGTCTCATCCCAACCAATCATAGGCATTTAGTGCCGCGGAAAATTGAGCGAAGAATTTTCCTCTCCGCATCCCCTCACTCGACAATGCTGACAAATTGCATAACGCATCACATAATTTTAAACGTTGATGAGTGTGTGGCGAGAATACTAGTTGTACAAATACCGAGGGATCTTGCAACTGCTCTTGTAATCCTGGGTTCAACGGGGATGGTGTTGGTCTTAGATAAATATCTAGGAATTTATAGAATACCTAGTCATGCTTATATGCGTGATGACATGGAACGTTTTTGAACATTCTATTATGTCATGTAGTCATGATGTAATACTACCAAAATAGTTGTGTTTTAAGCCTCCGGAATATTCTAAAACACTTTTTAAATGCATATGTATATGAGGACTCATTCGTGTAGTAGTAGTAATAGTAGTTGCTGCTGCTGGGAGTTACCAAGCTACCAAGTTACTGTGGAAGCTTGTTCATTTCGAGAAACTTTGGAGACAACTTTGGTACAGACTATAGTGGTTTAAGTAAGGTGCCTTTAGGAACCGCTCCTCATTAAGAACATTACAAGTTGTTTAATGAAGTGGTTGAGTTTGTAGGATTGTAGTGTTCTTTCTTTCGGTTAGATTGTACAGTAACAATGTACATTAATGCAAAGAGATAATCCTGCAAAGCATGATCTTAAACAGAAAAATTACAAGTGCATTCTTTACTCACTAAAAGCGCCCCTGAGTCCCATAATTCTAGTCGGTACAAAAAAAGATACGTATACTTTCGTTAAATAAACTCATCCTCTTCTGATTGTTATTCTTTATCGCCATACCTCAAAGAGAATCCTGATTTGATTTCAGACATTGACGAGTGTTCTAAAAACAGCCATAACTGCAGCTACACAACAGCCACCTGCACCAATACCAGGGGATCATTCAAGTGCATTTGTAAACCTGGATTCAGTGGTGACGGACACAATTGCACAGGTACTGAACATTATTTAGAGCATGATATTTTGTTATATCACCGCAATAAACCTATGCAACTGGCCGAGATAGTGTCATTATACATACGATGGTCATATACTGAAGCCCTTTCTCCCCTTTTCCCCTTCGGCTTATATTTTCGTAATTATTGTCATGAGTACAGTGTGTTGATTCCAATTCAGACATCAATGAATCTGCCAATGATACCCACAACTGCAGCAGGGACAATGCCACTTGTTCAAACACCGCGGGGTCATTCAACTGTTCTTGCAATCCTGGATTTACTGGTGATGGACACATCTGCCAAGGTAAAATCTTACACGTCACATTTCACGCTACTTAGCCCCTATGACGTTTGTATAAGCACAGGCGTTTCAACATTTTGTCAACATCCTGCATCACGGATTTCTCAGCAGCTTGTGGGGTTCATTTCAGACATCGGCGAAGGTGTTAAGAATACCTCTAAACAGTAGCAACGAAAACGCTACTTGCAAAAATTCCGAGGGATCTTCAAAGAGTACATGTAAACTTGTATTCAGTGGGAGTGGACACAACTGTACAAATAACGAGTTCTCTCGTTGAAAGAACCCTAAATATCTTGCTCTCTGTGGTAGAAGTCCGTTTGATGATCCGAAAATATTTTATTCTCTTTAATCCATGAGTTAAAGAATTATGTTTTTTAAACTTGATCAGCAGGCGTTGTTGTCATTTCGAACAGTTTTTAAAAATTTATTATTCTATATATATATGTATATATTTTTTTTATTATTATTATTCTCTCCCTAAAATCATGGTGGCGCATATCATTGTGTTGATTTTATCTCAGACATAGATGAGTTTGTTCATGATACCCACATCTGCAGCAGGGACAATGCCACTTATACAAATACAGAGGGATTGTTCAACTGCTTTTGTAATCCTGGATTCAACGGGGATGGACACAACTGTGCAGGTGTGAGAATTTATGTGCAGGTGTGAGAAAGTATGATTGCTCTTCCGTTTCAGCGGGTAAAATATACATGGCCTCCTAACCTTCTTGTCCACAAAAATTTTGAGAGTCCTTTTTTTGTTTTTTGTTTTTCTTCCAAGACACATTACTTGATAACCCTTATTATGACTTACATTTTTTTAATTATTTATTTATTTTTTGGACTGATTAAGTTGTCTTTACTGCAATTGTTGCACTGTATGTTGAAGCCTCCTTTTTTTACGAGCATTGGGTACGATCAGTTGATTTCATTGCAGACATCGATGAATGCGTTACAAGTACCCACAACTGCAATATGGACAACTGCGACTTCTACAAATACTAAGGGATCGTTCACTTGCACTTGTAGTCCTAGACATTCAGATCTGCCGGCATAAAATACGTCATACATCAGGATTACCTGAGATTCTAGACACTGGATTAACAGGCGCGACTGCGTCATTTGCACATCTACCCCAACCTCTATTCCCCTTTAGCCCGGTTACTCATTATCATGATCATGGTACGTTCTGTCGACTTCATTTTAGACATCGATGAATGTACTGGAGATACCCACAACTATAGCAGAAACAATTCTACATCCACAAATACCGAGGGATCGTTCAACTGCTCCTGTAAGCAGGGATTCACTGGAAATGGACACAAATGCGAAGGTAGAATTCTCGAAAAATTGTATTTGTACAGAATGTTCGATATTTCATGTTCTTCTTTTTTAAGATCAAAATACGACTGTGGGAGCCTGTTATTTAAACAAAGTCTTTGTTTAACAGAACTGCATCCTAATCAATCCTAAACTTAGCTGAGCCATTTATCGGAACGTTTATATTTGTGAACAGTGTAGAAGGGCAGAAAGCTAGGAGTGGAAGGACATTCATTTAATCAAATAAACCTTCTTATAAAGAAAGCCTTACCCCCACTGATTGCGTAAAACCGCAGTTTGGGTTAGATCTCGTGTAAAAGACTGGCCTTATAAGTCTTTGCTACTCAAATATGTACAGCTTACTTAGATGTTTCGGCGTGAAAAATGCGGAAAAAGAGTTTTGTCCACCCCTATAACTGCATCGCAGGGAGGATAATTACCTAAGTGCCGTTAGATTTTAAAGTGGTTTTTCACCAACGGGTGGCCTCGCATCATCGAGCATTCTGAACAACTCACCAAAATGCTACATTGGCACTCTTTTGTCTTACTTAGACCCAGTCGTGACCAAAGCCAATTCATGAAATGTTATCACGCTGAGACAGATGGCTGGGATTCAACAACATTCCATTCGAAATGTGATGGAAAGGGACCCACTGTTTCCATTATTCAAGTCAGTAACTACACATTTGGTGGACACACCGACGTGTCCTGGCAAGGTATGCATTTCTTGTCAGTTACTTATTATTCACCGGGGAGGGGGTGGCTAGATAAATAATATCCTCTATTTGGCACGGAAGTATGCACGGATATTTTCCGCCGGCATTGTGTGTTCCAAGATTCTCACAATTTCTCTAGAGCGAATCTCCAGGAAAACTGTGAGCGAGGAACAGTCGTGCCAAATAGAAGCTCTTGTTTTTCTCATCCTTCAAGTATTTTACAACGCGCGTGAAAAGATGTTCACGAATGGCTTGTTGTTTGCTGCCTGATTTCTTAGGAGACTTTATGAATAAAATAATATTTACCTTTTTCTGTAACAACCCTAAAGCGCTCTCTCATCTTGAATTAATTTTTTAATAAAGACATAATAATGGTAAAAATTGGTGAATATCACATGGGTGATATCCTCGGATATTCCCCAGTTTTATCTGAGAAATATTTGGTCATGTGATAGTTTTAGACCAATCGCGCGGGAACAAAAATATTTGATTGATCATAATGGTGGATATTAACCGAGCTGCAAAGCGGCGAGGTAATATCCACTGCCAGCCACCGACACTGCAGTGAATAGTTGTTCTAGTATACACTGAAACAGTGAGACGATGCAGCACAAAATATGATTTTAATTGATGTATTCCTGCAACAAGTACAACATTTTCGCACGCAAATCCCGCACAAATTGCTTGGAGGTGAATAGCAAAGGCTACATGGAGTTTGAGTAGCCAAGCAGAGCGCATTTTCAACGCTATCCACTGCTTTAGTAGATACTTATGGGTGTTGTGAGAGGTATTTAGTTTCCTCTGTTATATAGCGCTAGTGGGACGGCGGGCATAGTCAAGTAGTGTCAAATATTGATGGAATCAGAAATGTCTCGTCGTGAAAAGCATAATTATTCAATCAGCCTAAATCCTTTTAAATAGCTAAAAACAAAATGGCGGATGACATGGGATGGAGTCCGAAAATTAAAGGCCAAGAAGAGGCCCGGCAAGGAAAGGAAGAGTTTAGCAAAATCTAAATTTGAAGAATTCGGCAGCTTTGGTGGAAGCTAGAGTGATTGTGTCTCTGTTATAAAATCTTATGGCGAGGAGATTTCCAAAATGCGATTGACGCAACTACAAGAACTAAGATTAAAAGTCTTTTAAGACCTGAAGCACTCTTTAATGGCCGATGCAAACAGAGGAAAATTATGCACAGCTTAAAGTAAAAGAGTTGCACAACAAACAATCTTTGACAAATTACTATCGAAGCAATTACGAAGAAGACAAAGGAAGTGAATTCCGATCAATTTCAAGATAAAAAAAAAACCTAAGTTGTTAGTTATTTACAGTTCAGAAAGACGCAATGACCGAAGTTAATGCTCCTGGAAAAGATGGAGGGGGTTGGGGAGGAGAATTATCGCTGCATGAGTAAACTGCAATGACCCTCAAGACACATTGTCGACCTTCTTATATAATTAGGCTTTCCTCTAACAGATTTCTCTGGCTGCAGGTTCTTGTGGGTACACAGCGGCTGCCAAAGCCTTCATTTTCTCCCTGTACAAGGTGCATGGTTACAAACCTGTTAAACTAGCTCAGTACTGGTATCAGGGATATGCAATCTACAGCTGCAGTAGTTATGGACCAACGTTTGGGAGTTATCTAGGGCAACATGACATCTACCTGCAAAATAACGCTAGAAACATCCAAAAGTCCCTTACCATATGTGGGTCAACTTACGCCGTCCCTACTGGTTTCACTGCGTTCGTCAAGTGCGTATTCTTGCTAGAGGAGATTAAAGTAGAATTATTTCAAACCTAGTCAATGTTTTGTTCCTGATATACGATACAACTGCTTTCATCGGTGGAGAAAGAAAGCTTGTAGCTTTTGACGAATGACCCATTTTTCTTCCCTTGCGTTGCAATTACACAGACAGTGTGTAGCGCTCCCATATCGACTTTCAGCTGTACAGATTTACAACTATTTTGTGATGCATCCCTTTCAGCAATTAAGGCATAACTATTATGTGACGTTACCTGAAGATATAAAGGACCTATAGCTATTGTACATCAAGCACCCTCACCTGTTAGAACCTTGAGCTATTCTGTGATGTATTACCTCAAACATACGGCATAACACGTTCATAGCTATTTGCATGGTCTTAGGTATTTAAAATAGTTGCGTGAGGTGAATTGGTTCAAGTACTGACATGTGCCTACCTCTGTTTTCCACTTTCCCAAGTAAAACCTAGTTTCATCTTGGACAAAATCGTCAGGTTACTTTTCGTTAGTTCCGTCATTCAGCTCACATATTTTACCAGTTGTGACGTAATTGTAGCTCCCACATGCGACTTCGTTGTTGCAAAACACCAGACATTCATACGGGTCTTGAACCCTTTTTGTTTTACATGTGTGACCCTTGAGAACCTTTCCACCCACAGATTGCTCAGCTAGATTACGCTGGGGACCAGCAGCCATTAGCAGAGGGATAAGTGATGAAAAGTAAAAGAAATACAGAGCTGGAAACATTTGCCTTGAATTGAGCAATACTGCAATAGTCAAGAAAATCAGTTTCAGGAATTGAGAAGGACTCTAGACAATTCTTTGAAAGGAATGATTTTGTTTATTAGAGCTGGAGAAAGAGATCTATTGCTGCACTGTAGCTATATATTGCGTAGCTAAGGAACAAATATCCCTGAGCTGCTGTGGAATTTTTCCCAATTGAGATAACATGCGAGTATTGCTGAAAACTCGCAATCTTTGCAACAACCGTCAATTATCTCAACTGCCTGATAGTGCACAATACACCAGCTACCGACACTCTGATGACTCAGATGATTCAGTGATTTTTGATTACAAGTCTTTACTATGAGTAAATTTTTCCGTTCGGATTAATAAATGCGTTTACGAAATTCTCAGTAAATCGCCATGTGTCGGCATTTTAAATTATCGCCAGCCATTTTCGGCTGAAAACTTCTAAGTGGGAGACACTGAATGTTTGTGAGTTTTTTAGAGCATACCGGAAGCGTTCTACAAAATTCAGAACACCTTCTTATGAGTTCCCAAAGTAGAGGTTATTTAACCGCGCAGACCGGACTCGATACACGATGAATCATTTTCTGTATGTTGTGGTTTTTCTTTGGAAAAACTTAATTGCTTTTGGGGATTTGAATAAACTTTCGTGTGGAGGACTGAGTATGTATTTCCTTAGAAATACTTCACAGTGCAACTCCGCTGTTTTTCAAGCTTTTCTAAGACGAAAGATCACTCTCTGATCGTTAAATGCCTCTCATAAACGCAAGAACAAATGCACGTCTCTATTTTTCTGCAATGCACTGTTTAATTTCATCCCATTTCAAAACATTTACGGCTATCTATGAAATTTCTATTTTTATTATAATGCGTAAACTACTTCGAATGCCTCTGCATTACAAGTTAAATAAGAGCGCTATCAATGAATTTCTTTTCAATTTCAATGAGGTTGTTTGCGCCATAAACAGGTTTTAATTGTTTAAAAATCACCAGTGTTAAAATAGTTTCTTTCCTGTTTGTCCTGAAAGCTAAAATAACCCATTTCGATTACCCCACAATCTAAATTAAGCCCAAATATTACTACATTTAACATGCACCTAGAAATTTCAGTGCAAAAAGGGACATACAACTAACCTTTAATTACTTCAGCTGTCTGCCCTTTTTATTTTGTAACTAAGTCTGATACGTTTTCCTTCTCTCTGACGATATCTTAACAGCTTTTCAACGGAATATTGTTTTCACACTCAAGGATGTCTACATTATTAATAAAAAGAATCTTGAGCGATTGGTTTCTATACCCCAACGTGAAGATACAGCCAAAATAAATTTCGTTGCTGAGGAAATATGAAAAATTCAATAAAAGGCGATTTTTTTGTCGCACCAAAAGCTCAAAAACTCAAAATATGCCTATAATTTCCGTCAAGTATGAATGAATACCCTTCTGTTTTATCCTATTAAGCAGTATCGAAAAAAACGTGAGCTGAACCTAAGCATTTAAATATACATAACAAAATACAATACATGAACTGTTATGAATCATTGCCCAAATTAAAAAAGCGTATCGATTCTCGCGAATAGTGACGAATTTAGCAGACAACTTTGACATGTAAATACATTGCTAGATCGAAAACCCTTGGTCTTTTTCACGGTGCCAGTAGCTTTTGGAAAAACTAAGCCTGCTTTAGAATTTAAACTGAAATGAGAGTATCTAATTAAAGCTTCGTTATTTATTCATTTATGCCTCCAAAGAGTCTCTCAAGAGGGACTCCCACATTGACAATTAGCATCAAATATTTATGAAACTGCAACTGCTTAAAACTTAAACTTAAAACTTAAACAACACATGAAAAGTGACCGGCAAGGTAAGTTAGTCTTGTAGCCAGATTTAAATTTGAAGCACTCAAGAGGTATTTGAGTTACGTTTTTATGTGAGAAAATTGAAAACCTTTGAATTATCATCTCCATCAAAATGGGACCTTAAAGAAGTACAAACCCACCATTCTAAAATTTTCTTGAGTTGAGTGTAGATTTCTCCTTTTTCTCTCCCCTTGCTATCTTAAGAATTCACGCGCGCTCAAAGCAGCTCGTTGCGCATGTTAAAAATGGTTCTTGCACTCACCAACGTGCGTTGAAATCACGACCAAATTTTCTCGGCTTAAGAAGTTACCAAATTTATTGCATTATGGGGCTGTGCAGTGAAAGTGTAAGTGGTTATATAAAGGGCCTCGTTGATTGCTACGCATGTAGTTTTAAATAAGTGCGAAAGAAATCATTGTTAAAATAGGGTCTGCTTTGAGTTTGACTGATCAATGAGCCACGACTGCTATATTTCAAGTACGTGCCGATTGTCTAAGTTGTTTTTATACCTTCAGTCAAACCAAAACTATTTTCATTAAGAACCAGACGCGTGATATTCTGTCACCGAAAGCTTTATATACATTTATGAAAAATTGTAATGAAGCTAGGAATGCACTAGGCGACTCGCTCTCGGAACCAATGAGATGACAGGATATGCAGAATATCACCCGCTCAGGCACTGAGAAGAAAATAAAACCAAGCTATCTTGCGTTTAACTTAGTTTCTAGTTGAGATCGCTGCATGACTTCACTTCATTTTAACACTCTCAGAGAGAAAGGAGAGATTTCTTGAAAACTACTTATATAATGGTTACAAGCTTTCCTGAAAACGTAGTGACGAGATTCTCCAGGGAACTACGTGCCATTAGTTCTTTTCAACAGAAAATATTTTAACATTATTGAGATGTTTTAAACATTTGTAAATCAGTTACTAAACGTTCGACTGAGTTAAGAAATTGTAGCTTACTGTCAACAACTACATCAATGCTAAGAACGAGCAGTGAAACTGATTCAGTGAAGAATTTACTGACCAATATCAAGCGTTCAGCTCTGCTTAAACTTCGAAATTGTCTCTGGCTGGATGGAATTCAGGGATAGTGGTCAAGTTTCATTCCTTAAACTTTGTGATGTCTTCAATGGCTAGCTTATCCAAAAACATGACTTTTAACTATTAAATCTGTCTTTTGATACGTTTTTCAACCGTGAAAAAATTTTCAATTAATTGTCGTTTTATCCTCACCAGTATTATGATATTTTTACATGGTGAGGTGAAATAATGAGCATCTATTTATTGAAAGATCATTTGGTTTTATCAACTGAGTTGATAAAACATAATTATCCTTGTAAATGTAAATGCGGTGGTGTGACGAAGAAAGCAGGTGTTTCAAAGATTTATGAAGAGAATGTTTGAAAAAAGGGAGGTGCAAGAACTAATTTTTCTTGAAACAATGTCAAAATAAAATTGACTTCTGTCTCGTTATTTACGGCCTTTTCTTTCGATTTGATGTTTTATCTTTTAATTTCACCGGCAAAGTGTACTTTAATGGTAATTTTCTTTTTTGAAGAACATGAAAATATAAATGCCAACCGTTTCTGCCAAAAGCAATGAATCAATGAACAAAGGGGGTAAATATTACAGATTAAGAAGAACACATTATTGGGCCAAACATTTCTCGAGATTGCAAATATTGCGGACTTTAGTAGTTTTCGACGGCTCGAGTCATTTAAAAGTCAATTATGGCAAGAGTATGAAAAAATCAAGTTAAGTTCTTTATCATAACAAATTGAGTTTGCACGAAATTTTATTTACTGAGGGTAATGCTTTTTGTCGTATACATTAATCTGTAACCATAACTTCTGCAAGCAAAGACAAAAAAAATTACTAATGAAATTTTTCGCCCCAAAAGAAAAATCAAAAAAATTATTTATCACTCTTTGGAGGTGATCAGGCCTCCTTAAACTTTGAATTCCACAAGGTCTTAATTTTTTTTTTTTTAATTTCGCCACGCAGATCGTTTCCATGGAAACTACAATAGAGGGTATATTTTCATTGAAGAATGCCAGCTTCTTCACATTTTGGGAAGGAATTTGCATAAGAAACTTTTTAATTCTTCCATTCTTTTCGAAGGAATTTTCCTAAAGCATCGACATTTTAAAGTGGGTACAACGAGGATGACAAATATTATCCACTTGTCGTGATTGAGTGGATTCATAACTTTATACAATTAAAAATTACCTGAAAATGGCTTGAACTAGTATTCATTTCAAACATTAGTGTTTTTATTTTTGTGTTTTATCTTTTATTCAAGAGTAAACAATAAAAAATGAAAATATTACTACTTAGCGGACAGCTGTTAGTTTTGTATGAGGTACTATGCTGGTTAACGCCGTAACTAAATTTCATTATGTAAATTTAAAAAACAGAAAAAAAAAATGTTGTCAGTCTATTTCTATTGAGGTCTTCATAGTGACACTTCAAAACCTGTTTTAGTGCGTTATTTCTGAATATCTTATTTTAAAAAGTATACAAAATTTTAGAGCTCAAGAAAAAAAAACTGTGATTACGGTGAGTTTAGCAAGCTCTTCGCTCAACTTTAGTCAAGCACAGAACTTTTCAAAACGAGTTCAAGTCCTTTTATAAACTCTTTATTGGCTATTTCTATATTTTTGTGTAATTGCTCAACTGCGATAAAGGGAGGATAGCATAAATAGGGAAGAAAATTTTGTTGTTTCTTACTATTTCATTTTCAATCGTAGCATAGGCATAACTTATCGGGAATTTTCTAGCAATTTGATAAAGAAGTTTTTCGATTTGCCACAGTGAATGTTTATCAACATATCATATTTGCTTACTGACACTCTTTCATTAGCAATGAACTTGGATGGTGAGAATTGCATACGCTTTTAATAAAATCATCAATGATTCATGACGGGAAGGGAATTGAGGTTAAGTCACGATTCTTTCAGCTTCTATTTCTCGTCAATATTGCCTAAATTTTTACATAAATAAATGGTCATTCAATTACATTTCACACAAACTGTGGTCATTTTCGTTTTATATCCTGCCCTAAGACTTATCCTACTGCTTCATGAAGTTTAGTTAAAAGGGAACGTCTGTGTTACTTGGGTTTCCTCACCCGCCTTGAAACGAAATTAATTTTAGCTTAATTTACAAAGCGGAGTCTAGAGGCCAATCGAAGGAGATTTGTTCAATTAAGAAAGTAAACATCGTAAAAATTGGAGGTTGTGAGGAAAAATCAAACACGGATACAACAAGCTCATACGGTAAGCAAACATGTCAGAGGTAGCGAAAACTCCGAAGAGATGATGTCTAAAGAAATATGAGGTTGGTTGAAACTAAGCGGAACATGGCTGAGTCAAAATTACCAGTTATACGATATTTGATATTATCATAAACATTTTGGGATAACCGGCGAAACCAAGTTGGGTCATTTCTTGGTTCATCCAGAGAGAAAAAACCTCAGGAACCGACACTCTGAACACTACGTATTCTCGAAGGGCAAGTAACCTCGTTGCTTTGAAACGAGAATCCTTTGAGTTTTTGGGTCACAATTTTCTTTTAGTGGTATTTGAAGTTGATCATATATATTTGCATGATTTCATTAAAAATGCTTCGAAATAAGACAGAATTGTGCATTGTGGAATACTTTGGGAGTTTCGGATATCGGGCGATCAGAGCAAGGACATTTTCTCAGACAGAAAGAACCTTGAAAATTTTTTTGTAAATAAAAAAAAAAAACAATTTTTAATGGAATACAGAATTCACTTCTTGTTTACATACTCAAGTTTTCTCATAAATATTCATTCAACGTAACGTTCGATTTGTCATGGAGACTCAAAATCTTCTCATCTTCATCCAACGTTTGTGACAAAAAAAGATCGTCTTTCTCAATGTTATTGCTGAGCCTAAATTTTCCCGTCTCTTGTATAAAAGATAAGTAAAAATGAATACTTGCCACTGCTATAAACATCAAGTTTCTTTCAGTTCCTGGACAATCACAACTAATAGGTATCGTTAAGTCAAAATTTTCAGCAATTTAAGAAATTTTTAAACCTTCCATATGACGGTAAAACAGCTACTTTTGAGGAGGAGAGATTGTGTTAGAGAGGTGCGAGATATACAGACAGACAGACAAAGAGAAAGAAAGTGCTTGTTTGAAAGCTCGTTCAAAGATGCCAAGGATTTAGCATATTATTAAAATTTCACTATATTGAAATGTGACTGATTCCATTAGCGTTCTCCTGGGATCGGGTTGAAACCCGGATATATTCCCCATACAATCCACACATCGCATATGTAGTTCATCAGATTAAATCAGAACCTCGCATAAATTGATGTGGGAAGGGGGTGGGGGCTTGGGGAGAAAGAGCCTCCTCTGTTCAACAGGGGAGTCGAAGCCTAATAGGGATAAGAAATTAATGCGGTTGGCTCACGGCATTTCCCAGGATGTTCCCTTCAGAGCATGCGTGTCTTAAACACTCAATGAATCAATAAAACTTAGCATATAAGATGTAACCTCTTAGCCTTCGAGGAATTGTTTAATATGGCCACATTGAAGTATTCCTCGTTGAAATTATGCTCGGTTGGTTAATTGAACAGTACAATACGATCGAGAAAGTAATTGTCGTCGAACGAGAAGCATTTTACTGTTTCTTTGCCAAAGTTTCATTAGGCTCCGTTCCCGAGATGCCTGCTGAGTCTTGTAGAGAGATCAAAGCCAGCGAACAAGGGATGGCGGTTAGCGGTAGATATTGGCTGGAGCCCCGGGAGACAAAAATGAAATCTAAGAACTTTCTGGTAATTAACTAAATTATTATTCTTCACCTTTGGACAACTCAAGAAAAAATAGATTTGTATCGTAATAGTAAAAATTTCTTTCTTGCAGACAATTCACGAAAAAATAAATTAGCACCATAAATGAAAGTTTGCATGGAATTCTTTATTTCTTTGCAGGTTTATTGTGACATGGTATCGGTGGATCAGGTCTGGACTCTCCTCGCTCGGTTTTCAAACAGTGACACTAAAAACTGGATGGATGACTCAGGAGATTGGTGGTATGACAGTACTCAAGCTGCAGGAGAAACCGCTGATCCGTCGTATAACGCAGACATGATCTCGCCGGCGTTCTGGCTGATCGGTGGCAGTGGAATTACGGTTAGATCGCTCCATGGTTAGATCGCTCCATGGTTAGATCGCTCCAAGTCAGAACGCTCCATACCGAAGTCAGATCGCTCCACTCGAAAGTTAGTTCGCTCCATCAAATAAGTTACTTCGCTCCATACATAAGTTACTTCGCTCCATGAAGAAAACTAACGTGGAAGGTTGATAAAAGACAGAAGGATAAGGGAAAAGAAAAGAAAGAGTATTGTAACGCGACTAAAGACTCGCCATTTTTAACCGGAGTCGAACCCAGTCTCACTCACGGCTGGATTTGACAACGTTTAAAAATGGCGATTCTTTGAAAGCAATATTTATAAATCATATTCATTGTTGGTCATTTCTTTTATTTTATTTGGTGGCTCCTAAAGGAGCCTTTTGTTTGTGATGGTTGTGGTGTCTGCTGCTCTTTAAACAGGACCGTTCTTACTTAACAATCGATTCAGAACGCACGCGCGCTTAACCTAAGAGCGAAGAAATAAACCTCATGTAAGGAACTCGTAAAGTGTAACCTACTTTATTAAAGATGGCGGATACACATGGGCCAGTATTTTATTCGAATGATCTTTTTAACACATTTAGACCATAACTTTATCATTTATTACACACTGAAACACTTATTTCATCATTTATTACACACTGAAACACTTATTTCATCATTGGTAATTCGCTTTGGTGGGTTCAAGTGAACGAATCGTCGATCACTTTATATTTCAGCAACTTGATCGAAAGCAACATCATCAACTATAAACTACAAAGATCAGAAGTAAGTTAGTTTATTAGTTTTCTACGTTCATTACACACTGAAACACTTGTTCCAACATCGGTAATTCGCTTTGGTGGCCTCAAGTTAGCGAATACGTCAATCAGCAACTCGATCGCAAGACGCAATACACATCATCAACTATAAACTATAAAGATCAGAAGTAAGTTAGTGTATTAGGTTTCTACATGGAGCGAAGTAACTTATGTATGGAGCGAAGTAACTTATTTGATGGAGCGAACTAACTTTCGAGTGGATCGATCTGACTTCGGTATGGAGCGATCTGACTTGGAGCGATCTAACCATGGAGCGATCTAACCGGATACCGTGGCAGTGAGCTTAAAATTACGCGCAATGATGACTCTGGACACACCCCTCTATTGCAAACAATAGGGAACTGTCTGAGTGGGAAGACATTCCGCTCCAAAATTACCAGCTATGGTAACTTCAGAAACGGTTCAGTTTGGTCCAATGGTAAGTGCCTGGGAAAATGCAAAGTTCAATATGGCGGACAATACCAAACCACTGAGGGCTTCGGACAGGCTTCATGCAGTAGTGACCTGCAAGGTGCTGATGAGGTCGGATTCTGGTGTGTCAAGGGCTGGAGTGGTTCTGTGATCATGATCGGAGGAGGCGGAGCTGATTGTTCAGATGCCGATCACGGAACTGGGACAACGGTGGCGAAACTTACCTCTTTTAAAATCAAGGAAAATAACAGAAGAGAATCTGACTTTAGTAACGCCGCATGGGGTTCGATAACTAAAAGTTACTCATTGAATTTGTGGATTCGTTAATGCACGCATTACTTTTAAACTCGTGGGTGAAATGCCGTTTAAGATATACGCGAAGAGTGAATTTTTCCAAAATTCATGCATGAAACGTGATCAGAACTACCTTCTGAACACAGACTGCATAGTGAAAGTGTAAGTAGTTATATAAAGGGCCTCATTGATTGTTACGCATCTAGTTTTAAAGAGATGCGAAAGTCTGTATAGTTAATCAGGGCGTGCTTTGATTTTCATCGTTAATTTTTTTCAGTTTTAGATATCTAGGTCTTTGGGATCATTTTTTAGACGTTAACCTTGTGTAGTTGTTAGCTTGATGGCCGCAAGCTTTTCAGTTTTTAACTTGCTGTCGTCACCCTCTATAAATAAAGTTGACACATACATACATCGAAAAGAATTGAAGCTGCTCAAGCAGGGCGACAAATTCTTTCCATATCTATCGTTGGGACTGTTGTCATTGTCGATTTCAAGACTTTGAGGCCCTTTTCCTTTTATTCGAGTATTCTTCTGCAAGTTTGCTCTTCGGGTGGCGAGGATAAAACGAAAAGAAAGGAAAACCAGCTACAATGCTGTAGATCATTGTATGTCAAGGCATGACGATAGACACCATTTTGAATTATCTTCATCACTCCATTTACTTGGGAAAAAATATTGACCTATGTACTCATCCTCAGATATTCGATCAGTAAAAAATAGCACGACTTTGGGGACAGAAGCAAACCTAATTGTCGTTAAACTTCAATGTTTTGACGTAAAACTTCAAAGCTGTTACCAGCAAGTCTTTAACCAACTGGCAGAATATTCACAAACATATTTCCACGGAAACTGTGATTTAAGTGTTTGGTAATGTTGTGTTCGTTGTCGTTACTGGTATCAATTGAGCTCAGCGAGATCTAACTCAAGAAAGCCACCCTTGAAATATCTGCCTTCGTTTGTTGGCTGCAAACACCATTCCCACCACCATCAACATGCGCGAGGACGTCTCAAATAGTAGCGATGCAATCGACTCTCATTTAAGGGTAGTCCGGTTGATTCAGGGGTGGTATTGTAAGGAGAAATATTGTTAGATGCTAATCACTCTTAGGGTTTAAAGGATGAAAGAAAAGAAGGAATCTATTAAAATTATATGGAAAGGGCTGTTGCCGCCAAAAATCACATTGACATAATTTATTTTAAATCATATACTTTTTCTTTCCATTGCATTTTTATTAAGTTGTTTTGTTTTGAGTCTGTTACTTTCTTTCCTTTTCTGTTTCTTTCTTTTTTTTTTTGCTCAATTTACCTATGTTTGTGTCATTTGTATAAGTTCTTGGCCGTAAATTGTATTTGTTCTGACCTATACTTGAACTTGCATTAAATCATTCTCTATTGTCTTTGTTCTCTTTTATTTCGTTTTCTTGTTTGTCTATTTCTGAAGTAACTCATTATTTTTAATTTTATTTTTGCAACCGCTTTGATTGTTCACCTTGCTTTGATTCTTCACTTTTTTGTTTTGTTTGGAAGTATAATAAAGAGCGTGTTTTTGTTTGGACCATTACAAGTAATCTTGGCCATCATGAGCACCTGTGATTCCCACTAACCACAAAATTTGTATTTTTTTCTGTTTCATTGATCTTTTCTTGAACCAATGATGCTGTTTTTTTATATTTTATTATTTATTATATATAATAATAAATTGTAAGTAGTGCACTCTATACACTGTAAACGTCTTTGCTTTTTCTTTTCATTTCTTTTAAAATACATAGTTATTTATTTAGTCGCTCTTCAACCACTATTGTTTTAAATATTGTATTGCGCTGTAACATACGTATTTGTAAAAAACAAAAAACGTAAGTAATGTAGCTATAGATGTAACTGTACTGTAAGTTATTTTCTGTAGCCGTGATGTAAGCAATATAGCTGTAATTAAAGTAATATAGTTTTTTTGAAAAAAAATAAGTAAATAAAATTAAAAAAATAGATATATATATATAATTTTCTTCAGGCAGTTTCCAAGTGGTTGAAAATGTTTTGGGAAATATGCACCAGGAATGTACAAAGAGCAGTATTTTTATAAGGTTTTGTTTATAACATATCATACATAAAAACATATTAAACAGCTCTTACATTTCATAATTTATAGTTACTCATTATATGTTTAGAGAACTTTTCCAAACAGCACTCCAATGACTAGTTCATTTACCAAAGCTTTCTAAGCATCACTGATGCCTTTGAATCAAGAGATACAATTGAGCTCATGGGATTTCCCTTGCACATACATGATTGTGTGATTAAATTAGGTATAATTGAGCAATGAAAAAAAAAGAGATGCTATTCATCATATCTGGAGGATGATGATCATGTAACTGTTATGCTGTTACATGCATTTTCCATCTGCTCTACTGTACTCATATGTGCCAATTCTTACGAGAACACTCTGTCAGCCAAGGAAATTGTAGAAGCAAAATGATGTTGTAGAATCTTTAATCTAGACAGATCCATTCTTTTTTGTCCATTATTAACCTTTTACACCCCAACATCATTATATATGCATATTCTCCATACTTTTCTCCAAGTTCTGACAAGGAGAATTTGCTCAACAATCAGGAACTTTTTTTTTGTGATCATATCCTCTATTCTAAAACCTGTTGTGCCTGGTTTTTTTGTTTACTTTTAGATGTTGGTAAAATAGGGATTCTTATCAATAAAAGATACATCATGTACTATTTTAATTTTTATCTCTCTAAAGATTTCCTCTTGTTTGATGATGTATTTTTGTTGCAGGCAAAGAAAATTAAAGTGTAAAGACTTGAAAAGAGAGAACAACTGCACCTGTTGCAGCAAAGTTCAGAAACAGAAGATGTCACAGGGAACACACTCACTTTTTGTCTGAGCTAAAAAAAATGTCGGAAGGATACATTTACGCTTGTGGAAACTTAAAAAGAATGAATTGGAAGTCCCTGTGCTCATTTTGAATGCTACCATTTTTATAGTTTTTCTATTTTTTTTGTTTTTTCAGGTAATTGGAAAAGCTAACATCATTGTAGAATTGATGAATTAAAAGCAAATTATAGCTGATGTGAAATATGTGAAAATGACTTATACTGAGTGTAAAGCTTATTCTAAAATGGTGACCATTGAATGGTGACAGATGTGGTAATGTTATTTCCTGTGAACATTTCCAGCTTTTAATAAAGTGAGATTAAAACTGAAATTGAAGCCAATGTGCTGGGTAGTTGAACTCATGTGCCCAACACACAACAGGACACCCAAGCTTGTATTTTAAGATTCTGTCTGGAAATATACAAATACTGTAAACTACAACTTATAAGTGCCCCCTTCCCCCCTCTCCCCACCCCCCTCATTTTTAAGTTCCCGAGGTTAAAGGCCCATCTACCTTTAAAAAAACAAACAGAAAAATCATCCAATTACAATCCCCCCCGGATATAAGCCCTCCTCCAGCTTTTCTT